TATATATATATATATATATATATATATATATATATATGCCTCTAAATGTAAAAATGTAAAATTCAACAATACCTCATTAGTCCCAAAGAAAAAGTTAATGCTAAACTTGCATATTATGAGTATCTTTAATGATAAGTTGTGGATGCTGGTTGCCAATGAAGGATCTCCTGTAGACAGTCTGATGAAGAGGAATTACAACGATTTTATTGAAAAAAGACAGATTCATTTAAGATATGCATTTATATATATATATATGTGTGTGTGTGTGTGTGTAATTTTTTTTACATACTTTTAATTGTGGCAAATTTGGCTCTCCATACTGATAAGGTCATTTTGATATTTGTATGAAGCTCTTACATAGTACAGTCAATCAAAGCGTGTCTGCCCAATTTTTTTTAATTATTATTATTATTTTTTTTTTTTTTGCGGTTATTAGTTCAATAAAAGCCTTTTTTATTGAAATATTGTCCTAACAATTCAACCAAAGCCTTTTTTTTTATCAATGTCACATTTATTGCGTTTATAACTACGATTTATATGATTGGCTGAGCCGTGTGACGTCACCCCCCCCGACAGGAGTTTCTCCGACAGCTGGGGAGCTGTTCATGCGTGCTTTTTTCACCTGTACCGTTGATCATTTGAACTAATTAAAGGTCTAGATTTAACAATGGGAGACAAGAAGAGTCCCACAAGGTAAAACCCTCGCTGGTATGTTTCCATGAGGACTTTAACTGGCTTTTAAAGAACAGAAAGCTGAAGGAATGGATGGAGCTGTGTGGTACTCAAAGTGTTCATGGCGGCTGTTAGGAGTGTGGATGTGTGGCTGCTTTCTCTGCCTTACTGACCGGTTCAGACCAGAAAGTGATTTCCCACTTTAGCTGTATGGCTGCTTTTATATATATTTATTTAAAAACATAGCTGCCTTTGTTAAAACCTCCGCTGTTCGTGTTTGTTGTGTTTGTGTGTAAAGGCCGAAGCGGCAGTCCAAGCCGTTCACCGATGATGGGTTCTGGGACTGCAGCGTGTGTACGTTCAAGAACAGCGCTGAGGCGTTCAAGTGCTCGATGTGTGATGTGAGGAAGGGGACTTCAACCCGGTAAGTTTACCCCAAACCATAACTGTGACACACACTTCCACCTAGCTGCTGCTAAAGATGACAGCGACTTAAACTGCACAATGAAGCACACACTTTTTTTTAATGATTTGTGTGCTAGATTAGCAGTGATGTCAAAAGTACACACAGTTGTTACTGAAGTAGAAGTATTGCTACTGCNTGTCAAAAGTACACACAGTTGTTACTGAAGTAGAAGTATTGCTACTGCTGTTTAAAAACACTGTGGTAAAAGTTGAAGTATCAACTTGACCTCTTTACTTAAGTAAAAAAGTGAACAAGTATTTGCTCCAAAAACTCCTTAAAAAAAAACCCCTTAAAAAAAACATCCAGATGCCACTAAATGAAATTTAAAGCTCAATTTTTCGACTATTTCGAAAAAAATCTTTGAGATAGGGCCAAAGATGAGGGAGGTCTTGTCTCCATCTCCCGATAAGCTCTTGCCTGTGTCCGATCGTTCAGACATTTCAACATCTTTTCTGAATCCGACATTGTAGCATGGCATAGACAATTCGTGTTTGCAGCTTGAGGAACACCCGCTTGCTTCTGATGATTTCCTTTAGCCAACCCAGGGGTCGGCAACCCAAACTGCTCAAAGAGCCATATTGGACCAAAATAAAAACAAAACAAAAAATAAATCTGTCTGAAGCCACAAAAATATAAAAGTCATATAAGCCTTGTTTGGCAACACGGGCTCTAAGTGTATTATCCCACTATAGAGAAGGACTATGTGGGCTTAAATATATAATAAGCATTCATGATTAAATGTTTATCCTGGAGCACATAGTAGCATGAGGTGCGGGAGGAGCAGTGAAGGCATTGATGAAATTATAGAAACACGATAAAGGAATCTTTCTATGGTGGATGTGTTTCTGTCGAGAGGAGTTGATTAAGTCATGAGAAAACAAGCAGGAGCTGACATCCATCAGAGCAGAGCTCTCTAACCCTGAAATCCCACATCCTTCTGTCACCGTCGTTCCTTGGTGTGATTTATGTTTTTAGGATTTCGGGGAAAAATGGGGCAAAGTTCACATCCCTGCATCAGAGCGCTACCTGTTTGATCTGGGGATGGTTTTCCATCCTTTCAGAAAAAAACTAGCAGCAGTAGTGGAGCAATCAATTTCTTAATCCTATCTTTGCGCTCGTCTAATTTATCCAGAAGTTCTGCAATCGCACCTGTTCTCTCACTCGTAACTTTGTGATCGGCTGCATATTTAGTTTGCCTTCCCTGGAAATGCCTTTCCAATTTTTATTTTTTTTTGGACAACCTCTCATTACAAAGTGAAAATGGATGCAATCCTTCTGTCCACATTTATAATGAAAGCAAATTATTTGCTCCATTCTTTGAATCCTCTTTTCTCATCAGCCATCTTCCTTTTTTCCTCTTTGTACCATGGTCTGAGACACACCTGCAGCTTTGTTTGCCTGGCACCACGCCACGCTGGTTGGCTGCAAGTTGTGACCACTGATATCTATGCCTATGACGCAAATTATTGTTTACATTTATTTATTATACAAATGTTTACAGCAATTGGAAAACATAATTTTTTTTTTTGACCTCTTGCACACCATATTAAAACAAAACAAAAAATCATTTTTCATACATTTTTGAAAAAGCTCCAGAGAGCATCAAGGGGGACGCTCAAGAGCCGCATGTGGCTCTGAAGCCACGGGTTTCCAACCCCTGAACTAACCAATGAGTTTTTGTTATATGACTCATCCAATTACACTAGTTTTCTCTAAATATGGATGGCATCTGTCACTACCCCATCCGTCCCGGAAGCACGATCTGCCCTGCACATGCGCGAACAGATATACATCCAGGTGTCCATAAATAATGTAATTATGGTACCAAAACTACTTATTTCTCTCTTTAACTCACTAAATAATGCTAATACACATTTTTATCAAATGTTTTATGACTTTTGTGACACAATTTTTATGCGTTTTACATTTTCTTCCTGAAATTGCTTCTCTGACGTCATGCTCAGAGCAGTCTGGCAAAATCTGATTAAACCATGTTTATCTGCATTTTAGTCGTTTCTTTCTTTAGATTTCGCACTATAACCAAAATGTGCTCTCAATGTTTTTACAACTTAAGATAAGCTTATAGCCAATCAGCTTTCGTGTTACTGTCGTGTCCATCACTTGATGTTGNGAAGCACACACTTTTTTTTAATGATTTGTGTGCTAGATTAGCAGTGATGTCAAAAGTACACACAGTTGTTACTGAAGTAGAAGTATTGCTACTGCAGTTTAAAAACACTGTGGTAAAAGTTGAAGTATCAACTTGACCTCTTTACTTAAGTAAAAAAGTGAACAAGTATTTGCTCCAAAAACTACTTAAAAAAATACCCTTAAAAAAATCAGCCAGATGCCACTAAATGAAATTTAAAGCTCAATTTTTCGACTATTTCGAAAAATTCTTTGAGATAGGGCCAAAGATGCGGGAGGTCTTGTCTCCATCTCCTGATACACTCTTACCTGTGTCCGAACTTTCAGACATTTCAACATCTTTTCTGAATCCGACATTGTAGCATGGCATAGACAATTGATGTTTGCAGCTTGAGGAACACCTGCTTGCTTCTGATGATTTCCTTTAGCTAACCCAGGGGTCGGCAACCCAAACTGCTCAAAGAGCCATATTGGACCAAAACAAAACAAAAAATAAATCAATCTGGAGCCGCAAAAATTTAAAAGTCTTATATAAGCCTTGGCAACACAGGTTTTAGGTGTATTATCCCACTATAGAAATAGACTATGTGGGCTTAAATATATAATCAGCATTCATGATTAAATGTTTATCCTGGAGCAAATGTCACATAGTAGCATGAGGTGCGGGAGGAGCAGTGAAGGCTCTCACCATGCGGTTTAGGTTTTGTTGCATTGATGAAATTATAGAAACACGATAAAGGAATCTTTCTATGGTGTTTGTGTTTGTGTATTATGAAATTTAGGCAGGATCGGGATGAGTCGGCAGTAAAGATGAACACACAAACTGTTTCTGCTAGAATTAAAATGTGTCGTTTTATTCCGCCACAGAAAACAGCAAAGCAAGCCTATCAATCAAGGCACGGTGCTGAATACAAATTATATTGTCTTAATACAATTTATATTGTCCCCCTACCGTTAAACTAGGATTGGAGGGCCGGTCGATCCCGGCAGGGCAGCAACCCGCGCAGCTAGGCGTCCGTAAGCAACCCTAGCAGACCCCAGCGGTGTCAACAAACCCCCTGCCATTTATGCCACAATTCAAAGTAAAATCTTTCACCCAATCAGGAAAAGTGACTGCTCCCTCTCACACCTGGAGCTCATGATTACAGAAACCAAAATATGGAACCGGCATCCCCCGAACCCACCCAGGGCTTCATTTGTGATACAAAACTTGTATGATTGTCAAAGAGCATAAAATATAAAACCCATATATATCAGTTTGTCAGGAGGAGTTGATTGAGTCATGAGAAACCAAGCAGGAACTGACATCCATCAGAGCAGAGCTCTCTAACCCTGATTCTGTCACCATCGTTCCTTGGTGTGATTTATATTTTTAGGATTTCTGGAAAAAATGGAGGAAAGTTCACATCCCTGCATCAGAGCGCTACCTGTTTGATCTGGGGATGGCTTTCCATCCTTACAACAAAACTAGCAGCAGTAGTGGAGTTTGGAAATGCAATCCATTTCTTAATCCTATCTTTGCGCTCGTCTTATTTATCCAGAAGTTCTGCAATCGCACTTTTTCTCTCACTCCTAACCTTGTGATTGGCTACGTATTTAGCTTGCCTTCCCTGGAAATGCCTTTCCAATTTTTGGATGCAATCCTTCCGTCCGCATTTATAATGAAAGCAAATGATTCGCTCCATTCTTTGAATCCTCTTTTCTCATCAGCCATCTTCCTTTTTTCCTCTTTGTACCATGGTCCGAGACACACCTGCAGCTTTGTTTGCCTGGCACTGCGCCACGCTGGTTGGCTGCAAGTTGTGACCACTGATATCTATGGCTATGACGCAAATTATTGTTTAAATGTATTTATTATACAAATGTTTACAGCAATTGGAAAACATAATTAATTTTTTTTGACCTCTTGCACACCATATTAAAACAAAACAAACAATTATTTTTCATACATTTTTGAAAAAGCTCCAGGGAGCATCAAGGGGGACGCTCAAGAGCCGCATGTGGCTCCGGAGCCGCGGGTTGCCGACCCCCGATCTAACCAATGAGTGTTTGTGTTATATGACTCATCCAATTACTCCAGTTTTCACTAGATGTGGATGGCACCTGTCACTACCCCATCCGTCCCGGAAGCACGATCTGCCCTGCACATGCGCAAACAGATATACATCCAGGTTTCCATAAATAATGTAATTATGGTACTAAAACTACTTATTTCTTTCTTTAACTCACTAAATAATGCTAATACACATCTTTTTGAAATGCTTTATGACTTTTGTGACACAATTTTTATGCGTTTTACATTTTCTTCCTGAAATTGCTTCTCTGACGTCATCATCAGACATGCTCAGAGAAGTCTGGCAAAATCTGATTAAACCATGTTTATCTGCATTTTAGTCGTTTCTTTCTTTAGGTTACGCACTATAGCAAAAATGTGCTCTCAATGTTTTTACAACTTAAGATAAGCTTATAGCCAATCAGCTTTCGTGTTACTGTCGTGTCCATCACTTGATGTTGCATGAATGGAACTGGAAGATTTGGTGCTGTCGTTTTCATAGTAGTTTATTTTAAAACATTCTGCATCAATGGAAACTGTTTTATTCTTGGCTTAAGTCTGCTCTAAACAGCAACTATAAAGCCTGCAAATGCAAATTCAGTTCAGTTCTGCTGGTCTGGTTGCAGCCCAGCACCTGTTCTGGTACTTCCATCTGTTAGTGACTTACATGTCCTCTATGGGTCAGAGCCTGCAGAGGTTCACTTTGTGACTAGATATCACTCATACAGCGCAGTGTATTTTTTACGCAGACCGACTT